TAGATAGGTCTTTGTGGAGCTTGAAGCTCTGTATACATGTGACAGGGACTGAACCTATGATTTCCCTGGAGTGAGGAGGCTTCTAGTGAGGAACTCCTACCAATGCAGGTCATCAGTTTCTCTACACCTTGTACTCTAGAGAGCTGACTGGGGACTTTGTGCAGTAAAGTGACTTGCCCATGGTTAGACAGTCAGAATGTGTCAGAGACAGGACTCAGACCCAGGTCGTCCTATCTCTGAGATCAGCTTTCATTTCCCTATATTATGATAGCTTTCCACATAACTGCATCATCATCATCATCATTTTTACTATTAGAGATAATGAAAGTGTGGTGGCTAGAAAGCTGCCTTGGAGTCAGGAAGACCTGAGTTCAAGTTATGCCTCTGACATATACCAGGCAAGTCACTAAACCTCTCAGACAACTCTCTGCAGCAGCAGGTTGCAGAATAGTTAGTTGCCTTTCTGCTTCAGTAGGATTTCCCTATTTCAGAGAGGTCAGGTACACAGCCTAAAAGCTACATATGGCTCACAACATTCCCTAGTATGATCTGAATAGCATTAAAATGGAATTGGGAAATAATTAACAGAATAAACAAAATACAATAAAACAGATAATATTACATTTTAAACCTGTCAAAATGTGGCCTTAGAGATTCTTATGTACACATGATTGGCCTCCATTTCTATTTGAGTTTGCTACCACCGCCTTATACTAGCAGGTCCACATGCCCACTCTGCCAAACGGGTTCTATTGGGCAGAACTACTGTCATGGGATTGTGGGTTGTAGAGAGATTTTCCACCATTAAACACACGATGTTAGCCTATCAAAAACTTGAAGGAATGTTAGGACCTACAGTCATAGGATCAGAGATTTAGGCTGGAAGGGACCTTAGAGGCCCTTGAGTCCTGCCCCCTCATTTTACAGATGAGGAAACTGAGGTCTAGAGAAGTGAATTGACTTTTCTGGGTTCACACAATTAGTAAGAATATGAGGTAGGATTTGAACTCAGGTTTTGCTGAACCCCAACCTTAACACTCTGTCCAACCTGGGCCATGCTGCTGCAGAACATCAAATCTCAGGGAAGTCATGTTGGAGTCAGAGTATACATAGGATTTAAAACAGGAGCAGTTGTTCCCTAGAGGCTGGGCTGGTCTGCAGTTGCCCGTGATTTTGTAGTCCTATGTAAATTGCTGCTGTTAGGTATTGCAGGATATTTTGACTCTGGGGTATATGGAAGTAGGTTTGCATGTGGATTATTGGTGGGAGTGAGAACACTGAGATTTAAGGCACAGAATCAGAGTGAGGTTGAGAGAAGTAGCTATGTGTAAGGGAGGGGTACAATGGAAAGGAGTCAGAGGATATTCATTCAAATCCTGCTTCTGGTGCTTAATTGTATGGGACTTGACTAAGTTCCTTCATCTCCCTAATCCCCAGTTTAGCTTTGGAAGTCCTTTGTAGCTCTGCATCTGTGATCCTATGACTTCTTCCTCTGACTGGATGGGAATCTGGGAAATGGGATGTTAAATGACTCCAGGGACCTGATAGAGGCTGAACTGTAGGTACCTTTCAGCCCTCTCTTTTTTCCTTCCAGAGCTAGAAACAAGGAATCCTGGCTTATTTCTCCTGGTCCTAGTCCTCTAGTTCTCTAGGCAAAGACACACAAAGGGAAAACTAATATATTCTATGCTGAAATGTTTTTATTTAGAAGAATTACAATCAAGGTGAGGGTGGGTGAATGGGCAGGTAGAAAGCAGGCATCCATGCTCAAAAGCAGAAGGATACATCCAGCCATCATTCCGGAGGGGCTTCTGAGAGGTGTGCCTCAGGGCTGGAAGGACCCAAAAGTGGCTCCACCTTCAGGCACAGACCACTTTCTGCTCTGAGAATAATTTCTGGCTTTCTTCGAACTGGGTCTTTATCAGGGAGGACTCGGAACCTCAGTAAGGTGAGGGCCAGCACAACCTTCATCTCAGACATGGCGAAATTCTGGCCAATGCAGTTCCTGCTCAAGGGAGGAGGGGCTGACATTTCCCAGACCTTGACCCCAGGCTGTTTCTAGGGTTCTCCCATACTGAGATGGGCCTCTCACTCCCTTGATGGGGACATGGGAACAGGGTCCTTGTTGGGCACAGCTCCCCACCCTCACCTGGAGGGGGTAAAAACATCACCTGGGGAGATCAGGTGGGGAAAGTATGGACTTACCTGGGTCCAGCTGAGAAGGGTATAAAGGCCAAGGGTGAAATCTTTTGGTGATTGTTGATGTCAAAGCGATACGGGTCATAAACCTGGGGTGTTGACAGGGTCTTGTTCACCCTAGGCATACACTCTCCCTCTTGCCCAGGATGCTTCTCTTCAGTACAGCTAGACATCTCCAGGGGTAATCAAAGCTGCCCTCTCCTGCCTTCAGGCCTCCCATGGCTTGGCTTAGAGTGGAGCCCCACCCCCATCCCCATGAATGTCCCAGTTCTCTAGAACTGACTAGCCCAGGGGTGCTTCAGTGGAGGGTTGACAGATACCTCAGGGTTGGGCCACACAGCAGGGTTATAGTGAGTTCCAAAGATGCTGACCAGGCAAATGTTTCCTGTTGGCCAGAATAGGAGAGAGCCTAATGTAGCTTGTGAAGGCTACCAATGGATAAGTTGTGCCAGTATCCCAAATGGGCCCTAACCATAAGACTTCTTAACCCCTTCCCCTTGTCGTGGTGTGAGCCCTTGGCAAGTGAACCTTTAGGAATGATCCGCCCGTCAGGCAGCTGGATGTCCTTGGTGCAACAGCGGGAGACCATGCCAACTGGGGGGTGCAGCCGCAGGCTCTCCTTGATGCACATGGTCAGGAAGGGCATCTGGGCCAGATCATCCCTGGAGACAGGAACCCTGTCAGCTCCAGCATAGTGGAGATGGGGAGAAGCTTCACCATCCCAAGGAAGGGCAGAGGCGACAATGTTAACATCTAAAACCTGGATAATCA